GGAGGGTAAAGAGCAAAACAAGACAATTGTATTATACAATAATTATGTATATCTGTTGTTTTTAATTAAACAGTTTAGTTAGTTATTCTTCTTTTAAGAATAATAGATAATTGAAGAACGCAATATCAAAATAGTATTTTTTTCTGGTTATCTATACCAGCAGAATACTTCTGACTGGAAAATGAATTTGTTTAATTAGCCAAGATTACTCAAAGGAGGCTTCCCAGTGGAGCTAAACTGGCTTTGAGTATCAATTATATGATTTGTTTTTGCAGACAACTAAAAGCAACATAGTTAAATCACTCTGAATTCCATCTATAGCTTCCTCATATTAACATGGAAATATCACCAAAAAGACAGGGTTATTGTGAGGACTATGATGCCACATATCAAAACGTTTGCTATGTATTAGTTGGTCATTAATTTTAAATCCATCTTCTTGTATTTATGCATTCATAAATAACCCATTGAAAAAATTGTGCAGTAAGATTTGTTTTAAAAATAAGGCTTATTGGTTCACTCTATCCACTCCAGGCTAGTTTCTATGTATAATAACATTAATCTTATTCGCGCTCAGTCACTATGTCGTGTCTGACTTTTTGCAAGCCCACGGATTATAGCATGTCAGGCTCCTCCATCTAATGGAATTTTCCAGGCAAGAATACTGGAGTGGATTTGCATTTCCTACTCCAGGAGATCTTCCTGACCCAGGGATGCAACTCGCATCTCTGACGTCTCCTGCATTGGCAGACAGGTTCTTTACCATTGAGCCACCGGGGAAGCCCCAATTGCAGCATTAGGTCTCCAATAAATTCAAATAAATCGAAAGGAACAAACAAACCAACACCTAAACTATAGATATTCACACTTGGACATCATTCAAAAGCTTAAGCCAGGAAAGAGTGCGAGTGAAGTCGCTCAGTTGTGTCCGACTCTTTTGAGACCCCATGGACTGTAGCCTACCAGGCTTCTCTGTCCATGGCATTTTCCAGGCAAGTGTACTGGAGTGGGTTGCCATTTCATTCTCCTGGAGATTTTCCTGACTGAAGAATTTTCAACTAAATATAGTTTCCCTCACTTATTTTCTCTCAAAGTGGTAATTTTCGGTTATAAATTTTGGTCCTTTGGAGCCATTCTAGTTTGAATATCTTTCTTAATGGTCTTCTTTAACTTGGAGTCTTAGAAAAAGTAGAAGTAGTTAATAAAAATCTGGACCATGATGTATGACTGACTTCTATGCATATTTATCATCTCATTTTGAAGCACAAATTTATTTTATTTATACTATAAACACCCCACTATTAAAACCATCACCACTGTCTTACAACAGCCCACCAACTGTATTCTTGCTACCCGCTGCTGGCTTCTACCTCTACCTTTTACAGAATGTCCCCAGTGATCCTTCTGAAATGTAACTCACATTATGCCAATTTTCTGTTTTAAAATATATCAATGACTCTCATTTTTTTCTGAATAAAATTCAAATTCTTTACCAGTTGTTGAAGTGAATGAATGGCTCCAATTTTTAGACAAATTCCTTTGATTCAGGTTCTCTCTCTGATTGATAAAATAACATAATGTTTTTATACAGTTATATTTTTTTGTTTTGCTTTTAATAAAATCAGAGAAAAAGAAAATCTAACAATATTGATTGGAGTTAATAAAGAAGTTAAATTAAACTAGTAATTAAGTATATATTATTATTATTAAGTCACTCAGTCACGTCCAACTCTTTGCAACCCCCTGGACTATAATCTGTCAGGTTCCTCTGTCCATGGGGATTCTCCAGGCCAGAATACTGGAATGGGTAGTCATTCCCTTCTCCAGGGGATTTTCCCAACCCAAGGATTGAATCCAGGTCTCCCACATTGGAGGCGGACTCTTTACCATCAGGGTCACCAGGGAAGCCCAATTAAGTTTATAGTATATTTTAATTCATTGTCATAAGAAATGATATCAAATATAGGTCATATGTCATTTTCTTATTGTGAATATTGAAAATTATTTCTTTTAAACTTTAATGAACATTACAGGGCTTCATTTTCCTTTTACCTAAGACATGATAATTCTGGATTATTCCTGATTATTTTTATAAGCCATTGTTCTATAACTCATTGGCATGTGAAATATTTCAGATTAGGTCTTATTAGAAGAAAAAATAAAGCAATTTTATGTTTTTAATAATACCAGAGCCAGAAAGATTGAATACAAAACTAATTTTTACATTACATTTTACTCTTCATTTTACAGAAAACGGAGGGGGAGAGAAATAGACTCCTAAGTGGCAGCCCACTCCAGTATTCTTGTCTGGAAAATTCCATGGAGCCTGACAGTTCCTCATCCACGGGGTTGCAAAGAGTGGGGCACGGCTTAGTGACTAAATGACAGTGGCAACAATGAGAGAAAATAAACAGACTTTTAAGGAAAGTTACAATGTGCTTTCCAAAATTCAACCTTAGGTTCAAAGTTCATGTGAAAATCTGCTGTTTTTCAATATTGTGGATGAGATTCTTATCATGTCAAACAGTGACAGCTACCCAATAATAAATACTGATGATATTGGAGGTGAGTAACTGATTGAATATATCTTGGATGCTAATGCATAGCAGTAAAATACAACATTAAATAAAATTTTAATTATAAGAAAATATTTTTTTTATTTGCATAACCGCAAAGTTCTGCAAAAAGTGAAAAATAAAGTTGCTCAGTCATTTCCAGCTCTTTGCAACCCTATGGACTATACAGTCCAAGGAATTCCCCAGGCCAGAATACTGGAGTGGGTATCCTTTCCCCTTCTCTAGGGGATCTTCCCAACACAGGGATCGAACCCAAGTCTCCCACATTGCAGGCAGATTCTTTACCAGCTGAGCCACAAGGGAAGCCAAGAGCAACATTTTCCAGGTATTCCAATTTTGTTCATTTCTGGCCAGAATCATTTTTGCAACTGAAGCATCTTTGTCAGTCTCTATTGAAACACATCATGTCAAATTATTTTCCTTTAAAAGGTGCTCATTAAATATTCATAGCTTTGCACCATAAGAAAGTTTTGTTTTTCTGTTCACATTTAATTAAATCACATATTCAAGTAAACTCCCTATGCCCATAATCTGAATTTCATCTTTTTCTTTAATATATATGGAGAGATATGATTTACAAAAGCAATGCTATTACTTATAGAAAATATCTCATTCTTGATTCTCTCACTGACTAAATTCTTTTTGACGTGCAAATCCCTGAGGTTAAAATCTTATTTAAAGTTCACATTTAAGTTTATAATGGTTCTGCTTCTGAACAGACTTAGATTTAATCAGAATGTGAAATAAAAAGAACACATAACCTTTTACATCTTAAACAGATTGCATAATATTTGTAATTAATAAGCATCACTCCATGGGTAAATGGCATTCTGCATGACAATTTTATAGCATCATTAATATTAGTGGTAAATGTCAAATTATCCAAATGTCAAAGCATTTCTTTACCTTACAAATACTCTTCTTGTAACAAACGGTCTGGCACCTGCTAATTGATAAGAAAGCCATCCTGGAATTTGGGAAAGAATTCAGAGCCACAGGATGAGGGAGTCAAATCCTCATCCTAACTTATGTGGGTCAACCCCAAATATTTTGTTTCCAAAAGTTAATTTTTTCCCTGAGTCAGTAATGTCAATTTAGGATCAGTTAGTATTTTCCAATGTTTAAGTAGTTGACTTCTTGATTAAAAATAAGATCGACATAACCATTTGTTGAGCCTGAATTCAAATCAAACTGCCAGACTATGACAATTGTGGCTGATAGTTTTGCTGAATGAATGCTCAGTTGTAACTGAGACAGCATTAAATCACTTTACTTTTCAAACTTCATCATTGTACATTATTTCACTTCATTTCAGTAACTGAAACTTACTTATTCTAATGTCTGTCTCTTTGCATATTCTTCATTGTAGGCCATTTCTGTTATCCTTTTCAAGTGTTCCTGTCAAGAGGATACATGTGTTTTCCATGCCACCCTTTTCTCAAAATCAAAACTTGCTTTGTTTTACCCACCTAACAACAATTTCTCTTTGGAAAGTCTTTTACGACATACTAAAGCCTAACATCACAAGAAACTTTCTTGTCCTCTTCCACAATTCCTTTCTTTCTTTTTCTTTTCTTCTCCTCTTTCCTTCCTTGCCTCTTTCTTCCACTCCTTTTTTCTGCTTGTCCTTCCAGAATTTTCAAATTATTACTGTGTTAGGCACAGTGCCATATACAAGGATTGAATGAAATACAATTTTTATTTTTGAGATTTTTGGCTTCACCCTGTTCTTCATCATTATTTTTGGAAGACTCATCATTTACAATAAAGGGGCTCTACAACCTTGGTCTTCAGCTTCCTTTACACTTCTTGCAACTTTATTCCACTTTTTTTCATACCCATTATTCACATCCTGGTTTAGGATCTCATCTTTTGCTTAATTATCCAAGTGAATGAAAAGTTAACCTCAGATACTACTTTTCCTCAAAAAATTATTGAATTTCAACTCAAATTTTATAATATTTTATATTTTATCAAAACATACATGCCTGAATTAAACAAATAATCATTAATGACTACTTTGCACCAGGAAAACTTTTACTTTTATTATTGCTTTATATGCTAACCAAGAGACCTCATATGCAGTTTGACCTTTAAATATGCAGTTCTGTCCAGCAGGATCTGGTTAGCTATTCAATCAATACTTTTGAAATAAATCCATATTGTTTAAAACAATGCTAATAGTGTTATTGATGGCATAGATTATTAAATTTGTTAACATGTCTAGAATGGTCCAACTTATGCTAAATCAAGTTTTTATTATTTGCATCTAGTAAAAGAGGAAACTAAAGTCCCACCAAAAACAAAAAATCAACATTTATTACCTTTGTCATTTGTATCTCATACCCATCTGAAGAAATTATTATTCATAAAGAAATATGTTGGAAATCTAATAATATATCTATCATATTTACTTCTACTCACCAAGAAAGGCAGCATGACAATGTTGGGAAGAACAATATTTGATTTTTAAATTTCTGCTGTCAAATGTTCCAGATCAATGAATATTGGCTGTGACAGGGTGTCGATGCCCTGAATAACCTTTGTCCCTGCAGAACTTCCAAGTCTGTGACAAAAGTCTAGCAGATATTAACCTGGTCCTCTCTTCTCAAAGCCCTCTTTGGAGATTATGTCTTTTCACTCTTGCAAATCACAAGCTTCCTTTCCTTTGTTCCTCAAAAGAGATATAATAAACTACCTACAAAGAAAATAAATAGAGAATTTAAAAAGTATATCCCTAAGGTAGGAAATAGCTACCATCAAAGTTCAGGAAATTAAAAATAGATATTTTTAAATTACAACTTAAACTGGACACATTCTTGAAAATTTGACAGTCAATTCAAAGAACTTACAGTACTATCTTTGAAAAAATTATAGCAAATAGGTTATTGCAGATGAAAATAAGAAACCATTTCTAAGGTTAAAAAAAGAAGAAGCATAAAGAAAACAATAGGCCTGGATCTAGGTCTTTTTCAATAGATTTGTTTTAAAATATTTTTATGCAAGTTTATTTTTCCATATTTAAAATCATTACTGTCCATATGTTACATGGACTCCTTTTTTGCTCTATACTTTTTAATTTCATTTTCTTGTATAGTGAATCATTAAATTATCTGTCCATGGACATGCAATGATAAGATTCTACATTTGATATATATTTTAAAGTACCTCACCTGTACATCCAGGTTTCTCCTGGTTCACCTTTTACCTTGAGCATGGACTGTCACAAATGAAATTAAGACTTCTCAAGCAGTCAGTGGTGGGCATAGGACCAAGAACTACCTTGTGTTCTGTCTGATCCCCTGGGCTGGGCTCCCAGATTCTGCCTTCTTTCACTGTGAAAACAATGAGGCTTCAAGAAAACTCTGCAGTGAAGTTGATGAGATAGAAGCGGGAGGAAAAAAAAAAAAAAAAAAACCTACATAAATGTCTAGTATGTGAGTTAGTCAACTATTTAGAGAGGAAAATAACTCTAAGTTGATATGCTATCATTGATTTGATTTCACAGTATCACCCTGTTTGTATGACAAAATGTAGCTTGGGTTCCAAGCAACTATTACTTACTACTGTATTGAATGGTATATGCTTAGTTGCTCAGTCCTATCCAACTCTTTATGACCTCACTGACTGTAGCCTGTCAAGCTCCTCTGTCCTTGGAATTCTCCAGGCAAGATTACCAGAATGGGTTTTGATTTTCAACTCTAGGGGATCTTCTCAATCCAGGGATCGAACTCGTGTCTCTTGTGCCTCCTGCTTTGACAGGCAAATTATTTACCATTGAGCCATGTGGGGAGCCCATTTACTAAATAATAAAGAAATGTGAAGTGTTATAAATTGGACAATGTATAGGTTTGATGATAAGTTTTAAAACACCTGAAAATATTAATATAGCAATCTTTGGACATTACCAACATGTAGCACTTTTTAAAAAGTTAAAACTGGATGGTAGATTTTCAGTTTCAGTGTTCTTTGAAAATACTTTGTCAGTGGGATAGAGACTGTATAGATTCAACCAAATGCTATCAAAATATTCTGAACTAAGTGGAACTGAAATTTCTACTTGTTGATGAAAACAACTGACAAGAGTGTGTCTCCCCTTACAATAACAACAAAAGAGCCATTTGTAATATTGAAGTACAGTTGATTTACAATATTACATTAGTTTGAGGTGTACAGTATATTGATGCAGTATTTTTACAGATTATGCTCCATTGAAAGTTATTATAATGGCTATGCTTCTCTGTTCTTGTTGCTTGTCTGCTTTATGCATAATAGTTTGCATCTCTTAATCTTGTACCCCTCCTTTGCTCTCTTCACTGGTAACTACTAGTTTATTTTCTATACCTGTGAATCCATTTGTGTTTTTCTGTATACATTTGCTTGTATTATCTTTCAAATCCCATATATAACTGATATCATACAGTATTTATTTTTCTATGCCTTATTTCACTAAGCATATTATCTAGGTCCATCCATATATATGTATATACATCCATATATACATATGTATGGATGGGCTTCCCAGGTGGCACTAATGGTAAAGAACCTGTCTTCCAATGCAGGAGACTTAAGAGACACAGTTTTGATCCTGGGCCAGGAAGATCCCCTGGAGCAGGGCATGTCAATCCACTTCAGTATTCTTGCCTGGAGAATTCCATAGACGGAGGAGACTGGTGGGCTGCAGCCCACAAGGTGGCAAAGAGTTGGACATGACTGAAGCAACTTAGCACACATGCACATGTTGAAGTTCTATTTTTAATTTTTTGAAGAAACTCTATACTCTTCTTCCCAATGTTAAAATACTGCCTTTCTTGGTGACTGTAAATAGCTATGAGAGATATACTATTATGTTTTATATTCATTTCATTATGTGGGAATAAGATACATATGACAAAGATAAAGAAATTGAAATTTTTTCATGGTATGTTACCTATTTTGCTTAATGCAAGTGATAAAGTCTTGATGTAGCATAATTTGGACAAACCAGTCATAAAATTTGCAAGTTCACAAATTTTCTTTAGGTTTCAAAAAACCAAGGTTGCAGGGCAATCAACTAGCATGAATTTCAGGGGGAGTCACATGAAAGGAGATGTAAGATATGAATATTTGCTTCCTTTGGGTTGAAATGATCAGACAGAGACCAGTAAGGAAACTTCAGTTAAGAATAGACCCAACGAGTTGACAGGAATTTATTGAAGACTAGTGAAGGAGTGTGGATTCTCTGGAGGCTGCAAATATGAAAGGATGTGCATACCTTTCTGCAGGCTTTTTTGTCACAAATTTCCCTTGGCAAGATTCTTAAGGAAGCTCCCTTCATGGTCTTAGGGGAAGGGAACGGCAGCTGCCAGGGAAGAGAATGTGGCTTAGGCCCACACTGTTCTCTTTAATCTTTTTGTTGAGAGAAGCTGTTTTCTACCAGTTTCTTTGTTTTCACGCATCTTGCAAGTAGAGGAACAGAAAGCATTTTGTTCTGAACTATTTTGTCAATTATAACTATATAGCCAACAGCTCTGGAAGATAGACACAGTGTCTCCCACAAGAGCAGAGAATGGATATGTTTGCTATCCATGTAACAAGAAAACAGTTCTACTGGGGCAAAGACCAGGAAGGTTTGCTTTCTGCTCCTCTTAAGTAACTATAGCTTCTGAGTTTTGGGGGTTTCTTACTTGGGACACCTACTGTGCCATCTCATGAAACTCGAGGGAAAGGGAATAAAGAAAATTAATGTGAATGTGAAGTTCATTTTGCTTGCTCTGTTGTGATCAAAACAGTCTTTTGTCTGACCCAGGATTCTCACATTTTCAGCCAGCATCCAGGAAAGTGAAGCAATGCAACTTGTTAGCTTGGAGTAGGGCAGTTTCAGAGTTTTCAATTTTTGACACATCCCTGAGGAACACAATTCTTAATCTGTAAAGCAAATATACCCTGTTGCTCTTTGGAGTCTGGTGAAAACATACTATAGCTGAGTTAAACATATGGAAGAAACTTTTAGACCTGAGGAAAGATTAGGGACACATACTGGACCCAGAAGTGTAGCTCAGGAAGGTGCGAGGCCACTAAGAAGGATCTTAATGGCTGCCTAAGTATGAAGCCTGATCATAATATCAGGGAGTCATTCATCCTTTCAAAGTAAAAGCTCCAAAGTTAGGTAAGAGTACAACACTGCCATTAGAATTGCAAGACCATGGACAAGCCTCCTTGGTGCACACGATGGACCAAATATTTAAAACTAAAGATGAAAACCATTGAGAAAAACTTCCTGGAAAATATACTCATAACCTAAGTTAATGGTAAACAAGGGAAAGTAAAATCTGTGCTGTGCTGAGGATAACCATTAAGATATCAGAAACAAACTTAATTTCCAGTCACGTATTTTACCAGATGAATTCCAAACCTCACAACTAAAGCCCTGATGGAAGAATGAAATGTCCTTTACTGAGCATAAAATGTATTTATGTTAGTCTCTTTTTTTCTCCACCAGATGCCCAGTTTTAAACATAAATGACAAAACACATTAACAGGCAAGAAAATCTACTTCCAAGAGATGAGGTAATTAGCACATCTGCTCACATACGAAGCAGATTTTTGAACTAACAGAATTTTAAGCAACTATAATTAATATGTAAAAGACAAATGGATAAAATGAGCAGCATGAAAGATCAGATGGATAAACTGACAGATGAAATTCTTATGGGATGAAAACCATAAGAATGAATCTAACAGAAATGAAAAAACAAAAATCATAATAACAGAGGTGAAGAATGCCTTCAATGGCTTCCTTAGTTGGCTTGACTCAGCCTAAGAAATAATCAGTCAAATTTTAAAAATCAGTAGGTATATACCAAATTGAAACAGAATGAGGAAAAAAAATTAAATAAAAACTAAAAGAGAAACAATCTCATAGGTGTGAAACAATATAAAACAGTCTAAGTCAATGTAACTGAAATCCCACAAGAGAAGGGACAAGAGAGAGAGATTGAGGCAGAAATGTTGAAATATAATAGTTAAGAATTTTACAAAAATAAGGACAGAAAATTCTCACAAGTCAGATAAACAGAAGAATACTTCGAAGGATCGTCATCACAACAACAGAAAACATCAAGGTATATAATGTCAAATTTGCCTTAAATAAAGTGTAGTGTTGGAGAAGAATCTTGAGTGTCCTTTGGACTACAAGGAGGTCAAATCAGTCAATCCTAAAGGAAATCAAGTGTGAATGTTCATTGCAGGGGCTGATACTGAAGCTGAAGCTCCAATAATTTAGACAACTCGTGCTAAGAGCCTACTCACTGGAAAATACCCTGATGCCAGGAAAGACTGAAGTCCAAAGGAGAAGGGAGTGGCAGAGGATGAGATGGTTAGATAGCATCACCAAGTCAATGGACATTAATTTGAACAAACTCATGGAGATAGCAGAGGACAGAGGAGCCTCAAGCTACAGTCCTTGAGATCCCAAAGAGTTGAATATGATTTAGTGACTGAACAATCAACAACCAACAAGAGAAAATCTTGAAATCTCACAGAGGGAAAATGCAAGTTACAAATAGACAAAGAGAATAATGACAAGTAGACTTCCTTTTTTTTTTTTCCTCTAAAAACCTGGAAGCCATGAAATCATAGCATGTTGTCTTTAAAATGATGAAAGGAAAAATAAAAAACAAACACCATGGATTTAGAATACCCAGAAATAAATATATTTATAAAAATGAAAGAAAAGTTAAGACAGTCTTAAGCCAATAAAACCTGAGATAATGAAGTGCTAGAAGAATGTTAATAGAAAGGTTTCCATGAAAAGGTATTATAAAACCAGTACAGAATCTTGGATAAACATGAAGAAATGAAGAACACTGGAAATAAAATAAATAAGATAAAGATGTTTAATTTGAATCAATCTTGAAGATAAATGACTGTCTAAAGCAAAATCATTAGCAACTTATTGTAAGTTTGTAGCATTTGTAAAAGTAAAATTATAGGACAAACTTAGCACAACACATAAGGGGTAGGAATTGAGAATATACTGTTGTATGGTGTTTGTACTATGTATCAAGGGGTATAATATTATTTTTAGATAGACACTGATTAATTTAAAAATACATTCTAAACTCTAGGACAGTGATTAAAAACATATATTTAAAGAATACATATAGTAAGTTTTTAGTGGAGTTAAAATTGAATTATAAAAAATGTTCAAACTATTAAAAGGCATTAAAAAGTATTAAAAACAGATAAAAAAATAGCTAGCAAGGTGGTAGATTTCAATATAATCACACCTATATGCACTTTAAGTAGGACAAATGCATCAATTAAAATACAGGAATTGCCAGATTTGACTAAAAAAAAAAAAAAAGCAAGATCCAAGTATATACTGTATAAAGAAATTTTACTTAAATATAAAGATGGGTTAAACTAAAAGGATGATATGAAGTATTTCCAGTAGCCAATATTAAGAGAAGAAAGGAGAATGATGGGAGAAGGGGGAATGTGAAGACATCAGATAATGGGTACAGAGTTTCAGCTTCGTAAGATGAATGAATCATGGAGGTGGATGATGGTGATAGCTATGCAAT